ATATATTTTTCAATTATTATTTTAGAAGTAAATTTGCTTAGTTGTCAACTTCTCCATGATTTTAGGTTATTTTACTTATTTTCATGTTTTAATAATGTATTATATAATAAAAACGAATTTATGTTAATAATATTATATTTTTAGAAAATATGTTAATTCTTTTGTATTAGATTGTTATCTTAAAAATATATTTTTCAATAATAAAATTTAAGTGAATTTGCTGATTAATTTGTAACTTTCACGTTGAATATTAGAGCGGTTAATATCGTTTATATCCTTAATGAATAACTAAAAAAATTATATAATTAAAAATAAATAAAAAACGAATTTCAATGATTTTAGATTTAGCTTTATCTAAAAATATTTTATATTGGGTTATAAAGTCTTTATTAACCTTGAACAATAATTATATTAGTTAATATATAATTAATTATAAATTAAAAACGAATTTCATTTATTTGATAAACATCCTTATTTTAATTTTTTTATATTATGTGATAAAGTCTTTATCAACCTTGAAAAATAATTATATTTGTTAACATATAATTAATTCTAAATTAAAAAAATGAATCTCATGAATTTGATAATTATCTTTATCTAACTTTTTTATATTGTGTTATAAAGTCTTTATAATCGTTGAAAAATAATTCTATTTGTTAATATATAGTTAATTATGAAAAATCAATTCACAAAGAATTTATGTATAGATAAATTATATTGTGTTATCCAAAACATTATTAAAGATATTTTTTATACTTTTTTGTTATGTCTAAAAATGATATTAATTTATTACTAAATGTTTTAAGTTCATGAGTATTTTCAAATATGAGTTGTGTAATGAAAATTATTTATATGATGATGAAAATTTTTATATATAGAAAGAATTTGTTTAGTTTATTATTAAATATTTTGAGTCTATGAACTATAATTTATTATAATTTACATAAATTGATTATATATTTATATATAGATATTAGTAAAATTATTAAGCCCGCAAGTGCGGGCAAAACACCTAGTTAATAAAATATTTACAAATTTCAGTTTAGGTTTAATACTATGTTTTCAGATTGAATCCGGTTTAGCTCGTTCGAGAAAAGGAAAATCAAGAAACTTAAAGGGACCGGAGTGTAATAAATAGGATCTTATTTTAGAGAGTTACAGAAGAGCGCATCAAAAAGTTAGGGTTCTGTATCAACGAAACAAAAGGCGATATTTTTGATTCGTGAGGAGGCGATGGGTGAATTTGAAGGTACGATTCAAGTTTTGTTTCTCTCGTGTTTATATAATTTACTCTCGCCTACAATTTTACATGTAACAGGCTGGAATCGCTGGGTGGAACCTGCGTTTTTGCTGTGGAAGCCTGAGGATCCTGATTATGAGAGACCTGTGTACGATCCGGAAAAGGCTAAGTTTACTGCACAGGAAGAGCTTGACAGAATGCGCGAAGAAGTTAATCAGAGCGATGTATGTGTTTCTCAATCTCATGGTTTTGATAAGAAATATGTGTTTAATTAGCTGAGATGTTTGTTTAATCCCAACAGGGTTTTGATATTGATTTCGATTACTATCGCTGCGTTTTCAACTACCATCGTGCTTATCTCGATGATGCTGAATTTGGTGAATTTGGTGACGAGCCGGAAACCACTGAGGATTTTCTTAGGAGGCTCTCTCAAAAATCCCTTGATGACTACAATGTAGAGGAGGTAAAATACTTTCAGACTCCCTTTTTTTTTGTTCAAAAATTGTTTATGAATGCTGTTTGTTTTTAAAACAGGACACCAATGTTCTTATTGTTTGAACACTTGTGTATGAATGTGTTCTTTTTCTCCTTGGTTTTAAAACAGAAGAGAGAATTCGAGTTTGTCAGGGTTGTTAAATCCAATTTCCACTTCTCTGCGGGACTTATGTTTCTGATAACATTTGAAGTTGTTGATCCTTATGATGGTGAGATCAAACCCTTCCAAGCAAGGGTACGCTACCTCAACGATACCTTCACTGAGTACATCTTCTGCAGGCCAAAAACCAGTGCTGGAGGTATCTGTTAACTTCTTTTAGCTTCCATTACTATATATTTGTTTTTCTTTATAAAAAAAAAAATTGATTGCCTTTTGATTGCTTTGATAGTGGAATACTATGGGAAGGCCAAGGCACATGTCGCCAAAAAGCAAAGGTAGCAGAACATCTATCTATCTACAAAGTGCCTTTACTTTTGATTCTTGTATCGTTGATTCTCCATTAATTGATTTACAGATTGGAGTCGGAACTTTTATATGCTACAAGTATGGTGACTAGTGAGAACTGAGAGCTCTCTTGTTTCCTTATCTATTTTGTGTCCTAAATGTGTGACTTTAGCTTGTGTTTCTTAACACTCAAGTGTGACTTTACTTCTTGTGTTCCTATTGAATAATAGACTTGTAATGTTTCTTTTGTTGCTCGCCCTCTTTTAGACGTATTTCAAGTGTTCTTTTAGAGGCCATTCGTTTTGATATAAGTCACCATTATGCGATTCGTATTATTCTCTAATAATGTATATAAGGAACAACAAACCCGTAGCTACGATTTTCTTTTACAGCGAAACTGGTCCGTTTTTTCGAAAGCGCAGGTTTCTTTTATGACTACTATAAACAAAGTTTGATATGAATTAGTATTACAATATTTTTTTTTTTTTTTTTTGGCTCAACTTCAACTTATATTATCCAAAATGGTTTATACCTACAATATTGTTCCCTCCTAATGTAGGCATATCCACCTCTATTACAGATTTTAACCAACTTGGCTTCAAAGAATACAACTTAGGGACATGATTCAAAAAAGAAAAAGTCTCCTTTGCTATTTTATCAGCCGTTTTGTTTCCATCTCTTGAGTAATGCTGCACTCTAAAGGTCGGGTTAAAGGAAAGGGAATGGGTAATCTCTTGGATGATTGGCTTCAGTTTCGGCCATATATTCTCAGTACCTGCAATCATTTTAACAAGCACCAGAGAGTCTGTTTCAAAAGTGACTTGGTTATAGCCAAATCTGATCATTGAGTGGATTGCCCATTTGAGGGCCGTTGCTTCAGTCTCCACCGGTGATCCCATCCCTTGAATCCTTTGTCTTCCCGCCTATAACAACCTTCCATCGTGGTCTCGTAGTAACCAACCAGTTCCTTGGGTTGGAGCATCCACACGCCAAGCTCCATCAGAGTTACATTTAAGCTCTCCTCTTGCTGGTGGCCTCCATTTTTTGCTACGCTGGGTGTTTATAATGGGCGTTTTAACCTCTGTTTTTTCTACTTCCTTTCTTTCATTCCAAGCACGCATATCCTCCATCACTTTTGCTATTGTGTCAGCGGCTGGATGATCAATACCTTGGAACACAAAGGCATTCCTATTTTTCCAAAGTCTCCACAGCAGCCACGGTACCATGTCAGCATGGACCTCTTCGTTTGGGAACCGTTCCTGGAGACTCAGCACACGACAAATATTCTCATAGAGTGAATCCACCATAGTACCATTGGGGGGAGCATGAATTGGAGAAGTTGCCCATATGAGGCGGGCATAGGGGCATTGAAACAGGATATGATTCGCAGTCTCATTCTCCATGGAGCAACGTGGACAGCGACCGCCTTTTGATATGTGACGTTTACACATTGCTCCTCCCGTTGGTAAAGCATCACTGAGGCATCTCCACAAAAAATGGTGGACTTTTGGGCTGGTGTTTTGCTTCCATCTTTTCTGAAAGAGACCATCAAAACTCGGCTGGTCAACTACATGTTCCCGCTTCTCTCTTTTTAAGACGTTCTTGAGAACCCAGTAGCCGGACTTTACAGTATAGTGACCTGAGTTCGTATACTCCCAGCTGTAGGTATCTGCTCCTCTTTCACCCTGCGGTGTTATCATCTCGATTTTCCTTTGGATTTCTGCAGGGAAGAGGTTAGAGAGAAGTTCGTGATCCCATTCTTGGCCCGAGCTGATCATGAGGTCTCTTACTGTTGAGTCTGGAGATAGAACACGCTGATACTGGGTAGGGAGAATCTTTGTAGAGTCAACTGGAGTTACAGGTTTGCAACCTAGCCAGTTTTCTTGCCAGAGATTTGTTGAGCTACCATTCCCAATGACCTTTTTTGCTCCTCGGTTGATCAACTGTTGTGCGGCATACATACTCCTCCAGGCATAGGATGGACGGGATCCTAAACCGGCGCTTAAAGGAGTTGAGGTACGAAAGTACCTACTTTTAAAAACTCTGGCCAGAAGCGACTCCGGGTTAGTGAGCATTCGCCATAATTGTTTACCAAGGAGGGCAATGTTGAAGGCCTCAAGGTCTTTAAAACCAAGGCCTCCCTTGTCTTTTGTGGAGCACAGCGCCTCCCAACTTTTCCAGTGTATTCCTCGAGAGTCTTTGTTGCTTCGCCACCAAAAATCCGCCATTGTAGAAATTATCTTCTTGCATATCGTTTTCGGGATGAGGAAACAAGACATAGTATATGTTGGCAGTGCCATAGCAACCGCTTTGAGGAGAACCTCTTTGCCAGCAGGAGATAAAAACCGGTTCTGCCAACCACCAACTCTATGCTCTAGATTTTCCTTGAGGAAACTTAATATTGTGACCTTCGAACCCCCAAATGATTCTGGCAGTCCTAAATAAATACCTCCACCTCCTTCTTGTTCCATTCCTAGCTTCTGTTTGATCTCATCTCTTCTAGCTTCAGGAATGTTTTTGCCGAAATAGATGCTCGATTTTTGATAGTTGATTCGCTGACCAGAGGCGAGGCTGTATTCATTGAGAATCCCAGAAAGGGTATTGAGCTCTTCATCTGATTGTTTACAGTAGAATAGACTGTCATCGGCATAAAGTAGGTGAGAGATGGCCGGTGCACCACGAGCCACTTTTAAACCGGTAAGGGTCCCTTCTCTCTCGGCTTTCAGTAGCTTCTGGACTAGCAGTTCCGTGCATATTACGAAGAGATAGGGTGAGAGAGGGTCCCCTTGCCTAATACCTCTGGATGGCTTGATATCTCCATAAGGGTTTCCATTGATGAGCACTTGGTATTGGACAGAAGTGACACATTCCATAATGAGGTTGCACCATCTGTCCGAGAAACCAAGAGAATGCATCGCTGTCTTCAAAAAGGGCCATTCGACTCGGTCGAATGCTTTTTAGAGATTAGTCTTCACTGCAATGATCTCTCTTGAGCAGCTGTTGTTGGAATTTAGCGCATGTATAAGTTTATGTGCCACAAGGATGTTGTCTGAAATAAGCATGTCCTCCACAAAGGCGGCTTGAGTTTCTGTTATAATCCAAGGTAGCGTCTGCTTTAACCTTTTACTAAGAAGCTTGGAGACAACTTTGTAGGCAACATTGCACAAGCTTATGGGGCGAAAGTCCACCAGCTGCTTGGCTTCTAATTTCTTGGGGATAAGGCAGATGTTGGTTTTGTTGATGCCCTCTTCTAACTTCCCCGGAGAAAAGAAAGTACTTACCATAGCCACAATGTCATCCCCCATAGTATCCCAAAACTGTTGGAAGAAAAAGCCGTTCATCCCGTCAGGACCTGGGCATTTGTTTGGATTGATATCAAAGACTGCAGCTCTAACTTCATCTCGAGTAATGGGGGCCAGCAGCATCTGGTTCTGCTCATCCAAGACTACTGAGGGGATCTCCATCCAATCGTTTAAGCTTACTCCAACATCTCGGATGAGTAGAGTAGTTTAAAATGGGAGGCTGCTACTCTACCGAGTTCTTCGTCCTCAAACCATTCCTTTCCTTCTCTATCGATGAGGCTGTGAATTCTGTTTTGAGCTCTGCGATTTTTGGTGACTGCGTGAAAGAATTTAGTGTTGTGATCTCCTGACCGGAGCCAATGGAGCCGACTTTTCTGCCTCCAAAAAATCTCCTCATTATAGTATTCTTCATTTAGGGCTTCCCTCAAGTTGCTCAGTTTATCTCTGTTTTCAAAACAATTCCGGGTTGCCTCATCAATCTGAGAATGGAGCTCGCGAATTCTGATGGCGGAGTTGGGGAGTGCAGCTCTTTTCCAAGATGATATGCTCTTCCTACAATGAGCAATCTTTCCAAGAAGGCCTCCCTGGCCAGAATTCTGATACCTCCATGATTGATTGACTGTATTTGCGAAGTCTTCACGCTTAATCCATCTTTGATCGTATTTAAAACTCGCGCGCTTCTTCCATAACTGATCCACTAGTGTGGTTAGAACCGGGCTATGATCTGAGCTGACTTTTTGGAGGTAGGTTGCAAGAGCCTGGGGGAACAAGTCTGACCATGCTTGATTGGCAATTGTTCTGTCCAGGCGGCATTGGACCGTCATGTTGTTCCTTGTACCTGCCCAGGAAAATTTGTAGCCTGTGTGTTTGATGTTCCACAGGCCACAAGCACTAAGCATTTGCCGGAAATCCCGGCCTTCTTCTACACTTCTCTCTGCGCCTCCAATCTTCTCTGAGGGATCAATCATTTCGTTAAAATCTCCCGTCAAAACCCACGGTTCAGACCTGATGATGCCAATTCTAGTGATTCTTTCCCAGACGTCGTTTCTTTTCCCTCTGATTGGCTCTCCATAAACGCACGTAAGAAAGAAACTTATGTTCTGCCAAAGAACCTTTAAGTCGAGGAGTCTGTTGTTTGCCTGCAGCACTTCCACCTTACACGTCTCTTTCCACATTACTGCCAGACCTCCTCCTTTGCCAATGGGTTCAACCGTTCTCAAGAACTGGTAACCCAAATCTGCTGTTAACCCTTCCATGTATCTCCTTTTTTTTTTTGGTCTCGCTGAGGAATAGAATCTCGGGAGGTTGCTGACCAAGCATTCCCTTAAGATGACGAACTGTAGGGGTATTCCCCACCCCCTGACAGTTCCAGCTGAGAATTCTCATATTGGACTCGAAGGGTTGGAATTATCCATCAACCCTTCTTCCAAAATTTTGCCGCTGCCCAATACTATCCTGCGGACAGAATGGGATTGACGAGAAGCTGCTACAAGAGCAGATTGAAATTGATTCTCCGAGATTCTATCTCCTGAGCCACCAACGTTAGATCCTAGTCTGTGGAAGACCGAGGATTCTTGGGTCTCAGTACGAGGTTTCTTTGGTTCCCTCTCATCGCTGCCGCTTAGTCGTCTTCGTTTTGAAGTGGACACTTCCTGGGGAGGGCGCTTCTTTCCTGACGAGCTTCGAGATCGGGAACCGAGACGCTCAAAGACAGATGGAGGGCTCCTACTTCCTTTACTGGAACGTCCGTCTTGGGATTCCTTATGTGCGGAGAGGCTCTTTGATCCGCTTGAGTGCGATTCCAGAAGGTCAGTAGACTGATCATGATCCTCTTCTGATATGTCTTCAGCGGTACCAAGTCTTTCAAATACTGAGACACTCTCTTTTGAACAGCCAGGAGAGGGGGAACCTTTGGTCTTTCTCTTTCCAGAGGATGTGGAATTACTTCTACCGGGTACCTGAGATTCGCCAGAGCTTTTTGAGATTGCTCCATGTCGACCTGGGGTTTTG